GCCGACGTCGCTCTTGACGAAGTAGCGCTGGGGGCCGATGTAGACGTTGTAGCCCACGTCGTAGTAGTCCGCGAGCGGCAGCACGGCTTCTCCCGCGAAGACCGTATACCCCGAGTACGCGCAGCCCTGCTTCGAGAGGCCGTCGGGCGACGCGCCGCGCACGGGGCCCTCGTCGTACATCTGGGCGCGCACGGCGGACCAGATGCCGTCGGCGCCCACGAGCAGGTCGTGGTCGAACGTCTCGCCGCCGCCGAGCCGTACGGTCACTGTCTCGCCGTCGTCCGCGTAGCCCACGACGCCGTCGCCGTTCTTGATGAAGTCGGGCTTCAACGCGCGGCACTCGTCCAGCAGGATCTCCTGGAGGTCCGGCCGGTCGACGACGCCCGTGTAGGGCAGGTTGAAGAAGTCCGCGCATCGTTTTAACGGAAACGACACGAACCAGTCGCTCGGCGTGTCCTTATCGACCAGGAAGCGCGGGTCGGCGACGGGCGTCATGCGGAAGGACCCGTCGCTGCGCAGACCGTCCTTGATGCCGCAGCGCCGCGTGCCCGTGAACGTGAACGCGTCCATGACGCGCGCGAAGAGCCGCTCGTCGATGGCCTTCAGCGTCGACAGCGCGTTGGACGCGAACTGGATGGGGCCGCCGAAGCGCGCGAAGGCCTCCGTCTTCTCGTAGACCGTGACGTCGTGGCCCGCCTTGAGCAGGGTGAGCGCCGTCGTGAGGCCGCCGACGCCGCCGCCGGCGATGGCCACGTTGAGCGGCGCGGCCTTGTCGGGGACGTAGTCCACGGCGGCCCGCGTCGGCGTGAGCGCGCGCCGCGACTGCGGGGCGACGAGGGCGCCCGCGCCGAGGGCCGCGAGGGCCACCACGGCAGCGCGCAGCTGCAGGCGACGCGATGAGCTCATCGTGAAGACTCTGGCTCTGCCTCAACTTGGCTCAAGCAGCCTTGGCTCGGGGCACCGTCAGCTTGGAGCAGTGCATCTTCGCCCCCTGCGGCATTGCCATCGGATTTCCATTCCGTTCCAATCTTTGGCTTGAATATAAATGGGCTGACCGATCTCTATCTTATAAAGTGTGGCTGGGTTGTTTAAGATCCGGGATCGAGCAAAGGGATACGCTTTCGAGAAAATCGATGGTAAAGAGGGCTCCGCCAGTGGTGATGGGCACCTTTGGCAAGCTCTATCTCGGCGCCATGGCCACCGATTTGCAAAATTCTTGTTGCATCTGAAAGCCGGCACCGTCGTCTTGCGCGCAGAGCCAATAACTCAAAAACTTCAAGAGCATCACAAATCCCGCTTTTTATTCAACCCAGCCACAAGTGTACGATGATCGCGGCTGCCCGCGCCGCGCTGCTCGGCGCCGTGCTCTTGCCGCGGCTCAGCGCGGAGACCATCCAGGAGCACCTGCTGGAGCTCGGGAAGCAGTCGTTCGAGGTGCGCTCGCAGGAGTGGGTGACGTCGACGCTGGACGACGACGTTTTCGGCGACAACTTCGGCACGAACCCGGACTTCAGCTACGACGACCCGCGCAACTACCCGGTGTCGCGCGACTTCGAGAACCCGCGCCACGCCTGCTTCGAGGACGACGCCGCGTTCCCGTGGGTCAAGTTCTCCGACGCGCGGTCGCTGGCGACGG